AACTCGCTCTATTCAAACAGTAAGAGATAACGTCAAGAAAAATGTAAACTATCGAATGAATTAATGAAAGAAAGAAAGTCTTTTTTTTGGGGATACGTTTTGTTCTATCAGTACATTAATTGACTTCGTGTTTTTATCAATTCGGTTTTTGGATGTGTAGTAAATCTATGCGTACCTGCAGGACAATCTCAGAGCTAAACGTTTATCTATTGATAGAAACACATTTCATCATACTTCAATTAAGTTAATTGGTTGTTGGTTCCGAGAACAATTATATTTTGAATCTATTATAAGAAGTTCTACCTTATTCTTGATTTTTATTTTATTTTATTCATTTCCTTTCTCTGGCAAATTGAAAATATGCCCACTTCTAACAAAGTAGTGAAGTTAAGATTCTATTTCCTACCAAGTCACAATAAGATTTCGCTTAGGCGCAATACTGTGCGTAATAGTTCTGCATTAAACTTAAGTTCACCAAGATACTTCGTATAACGGTAATGCTATGACGCACATACAAAAAATGCGCATTTCGCTACATCAACGTGATATGAAATCTGAATATGGATAAAAAAATAATGTTATTATATCTACCATGAAAATATAAAGAGGTTTCGAGTGCAACGTAATAATGTCAAAATTCGTCATTATTCCAATGCAATGTGTTACGTTAACGGGTTGCGCGTTTAAGTTAATAAATATTTGAAAGTAAAATATTGGCCCATTCTGCAGATGTTTGAATTATATGACACTTGAAATTCGATACTATCTTTTGAAAGTTGCAAAAAATACAGGAAACTCATATGTATCATTTGTGTAATGGTTTTTTGTTGTTGTTTTTTTTGTTCAAAATGTCCGTTCATTCGCAATATGATTTCTTGATGCATATGTTATGTCACTTGCCTGTATTTGATCTATTTAAACGATCTGAAAAAGTTTGATAGAAATTGGAGCAACGGTATTTGGGTAATTAAGATATTACTGGGTCTAGCCATTATGTAAAGGTCCGTAATATGCGGCTTTTTAAGAAAAAATACCATGACCATGTTCATGACTTTCGAATGAAATGACGCATCTGTTTTCTTAAATGAAAAGAGAGAAAAAAGCATGCATTCGCAAATTCTTAGGATAGCATAACTTAGATATATTGTGTTTCCTAACACCGCTGCAAAGCATTAATTTCCCCATGTCTAGCCGTTATGTAACGCTACGCTTTTTTGCGACGAAAACGTTAATTCGAACGTCATTTCCTTGTTTTGTTTATGAACAAAATTTAACGTTTATCGTGAATTTTTATGGTTATATTTTACACGCAATAACAGCCAAAACATCCATATGTATTTATAATATTTTAGGGTTTCGTACACTATGTACATTTTCTTATTATCCGTTTTCAAATTTCAAACATATTTTGTGTGAAGGATGTGGCGTTTATTTAACGATTCAGTTTTTTATGATTTTTACCTAAGCTGAGTGAACGACATAACTGGTTTAAGCGGGAAAAGGCGATATTTTGTTTAATGGAGATGAATATATGCATAAAATCGTCACTTTCAATTTGAAAACATCCCACAACATTGAGTTTGATTTGATGTCAATGGCTTTAATAATAACATGTATTGAATTGATTCAATTTCACATGTTTGTAAGAAAAACAATCACTACGTAGTGAATGATGACATTATGTCAACACTTTTAAGGAAAACGCGGAGAGGGATATCTAATAAAGACATCAATGACTCAGCTGTATGTATTCGAAGTAAAAGCTGACGAAACCGCATGTATTCATGTAATATAAAATTGTTAAGGAAATATTTGAATCGTTTTAATAGTTTTTCACAGCATCTTAAGGTTTGCAAGGTTAGAAATTTACCCTCTAAGACAGGACTTTATCTTTTGCATATTTCTAAATATAACAAAACAAATTGTCTACAACTTTGACATACAGAAAACAGGTACATTTGACCCAAAGAAGCATTTTCCATAGGTTAAAAAAATAGGAATTTTAGAGTAAAAGAATTCCGTATGAGGTCACAATGGCGTCACTCCCTTTTTTGGGACGTAATACTTTGATGCGGATGTTGGATGTTTGTTCTACACGGGCGCAGTAAATATGTTGGTATCGCGCTTTTTTGCACCTCACTGAATGCGTGTGTAATCAGTAGGGAGTTATTGCTTCACTTTTGGTGCAATTGTAATTCATTTGGCAAACAATTATATACCTAATTAATTGATGTATGGATTGGAGGTTTTTTTAACAGAGATAGGTTGATTTTAATAAGTAGAGAAACAGCTATTTTATTGTTGATAAATAAAATTTATTCGAAAAGATAAAACACCCCGGATGAAAAACATCAGGCAATACCCCAAATGAGATATAGAGCTGGGGTGAGAAATCGTGCCGGGTGAGAAAACGTGTGGCCTTTTCCCACATGTATTGCACAATTTCCCACCCGGGTGGGAAAATCGTGCAGGGGTTAGATATCGTGTTGCGAACGCAACCATTTCGCACGACCTTGGTGAGAAATCGTGTCGGGGTGAGAAATCGTGCCGTGACAGATGTTCCTCTCAGTAACGAGTTCCGGGTACATTTAGTGGACACGTAGACGGTTCATAAAACTGACCAAGTCCGGGTACTACTTCCCCTTACATTAGCACTGATTAGTTTTAGTTATGGTCGCAGGCTGTCCTGGGATAGGCTGTACCGGGAGCTAGTCCCGGTCACCCTCCCTTCCTGTGTGTCCATTTCATTGTTTCTTATTTACTTTCGTAAATTAAGGTCCCACTGTCCGTCAGTGAACAACAAACGTGAATATATACATGTATGACGATACCTCTAGTAACACACCGCTGTGTGTCCGAGACTAACAGAAATCTGGAATCGTTAATTTATGTGTATAACTAAATGGTTTGACGTAGGAAGGGTCAAGAATGGTCGTTTTGGTGACGTATGTACTTGATTACGAGCGTACCCCCGGACTGCGTCCTCGATAACTAGTTTATCCTACGACTTGTAATTTGTAAGGAAGGGCAAGACGCTCCGTGGGCCGGAACTCCCTGTTGGGTAAGAATGGGGAAGGAAACGTTAATACTCGGATTATCAGAACAAAAAAATAGGGATAACGTTTTAAACCTATAGATTAATCCATGCGTCTTGCCCAACCTGCACTACATAGTTGCGTTATTTTTATGATCTGTCAAATCTTGCGTCACTTCCATTCATACCACTTTACAGATTTTGAAGGTACATACATTTTATGGATAGTTTATAATCGATCAAGTCGTTTTTAAATTTATGTACACTGTGTGTTAACGTTTTATTACTACTCGATCATTTGTAAGTTTATTAGCCTCTCTTTTGTTACAAATAAAACCCTGCCAAACCTTTTATTGCAAAAACTAGATTATTTCAAACATGTTTATAACATTCTCAATTGTCAAACTTTCTTAACGAATTAACAGAAATCGTGTATTTCATTCAATTAGAGAGGATCTCTTGATTTACGCACGTGTTGGCAAACACATGTGTGGCTATGAGGTCGTCATGCATTGTCATCTGACGGACAAATACTGTGATTAATCAGATGCTTGTGTTTATTTCCTGATGACTGGGCGAATTAATTAAAAGTCCTTATGATGTAAATATGTGTGACTTATTACAAATATTTTCTTTATGGTACATGTAGTTCCCGATTCAGCGGTTTCCTTTGAATAGCATAACCATTACGTAACAGAAAAAACCTGTCATGTTTCCTTAAAGAATATCATATGTATATCAGGTCTGAAAAAATGGCTCATGTAGGGGATGTTGACTGGAAATAAAAGAATTCATTTAATTCACTAATTCAAGTCGGCAATCCTATAGTTAGCAGGAGATCAGAGGTATTGTACGGTAAAATGTTACATGATGCGAAGTTTAACATCTATATCGCTCACGCATTAACAGTGCTACTCTGGTATTACATGTAACGCTGTTTAGAACTATGACTGTAACGTTAAAAGAAATTGTCTTGACTCTGAGGAATTTGTTTGACGTCGTTATGACGGAGTAGGGTCTATATGAATATATATTAAGGGGCGATAACGTCCATTGGTATAATGATGAACAATACGTTTATAAATGACCGTGTTTGTTAGTGTAATCGTCGTTAAAGGTGAATCACGGGAGCAAAACATTATTTTCAGAAGCGAACAATAGTGTAGGTAGCTAAACATTAAATGAAGACAGTGTGTGATAGTTTTGAATACGCCCTTAATTGAGAAACAACAGAGACCGCCCGGAGTGGGAGGTCGGGAGTACATTCAGGGGTTCCCAGGCGGTCGGTGTCGAGAAGAGGTGTTATATAAACACACAATGATGAACTTTGTACCGATCATCTTTAATGCTGCATCACACTGTCTGTGGTAGTATTTTATTACACACAGACATTCTTACCACACACGTCTAAATTTAACTCGTCGCTGTTCATACACCTGTTCAGTTAATTAATTACATTCACTATGTATATGTCAACCAGTCTATGAGTCAAACTGCCTAATTATGCATGCAGTGGTCGTGTGGGTGACACACAATATCCGTTTTGATTCACGCAACGCGCGCAAAAATACAAAAAATGAAATAAATAAATAAATCTATATTTATTTTTTTATCTGAAGCAAACACTGTCTTTTTTCTTTTTTTTTTAATCTTTTTTGTTTATTTGTTTATTTTTTAAATCAATTTTTAAAAGGAAATAAACAAATTGTAAGGTCCGTTTTGATTTTGACACGGGCACATTTCTTTTTATAATGTCCTATAAGTTGTTGACAAATGACTTAAAGATATCACTTTTTATTTAAATTGAAGGTGTCAGCTGGCGATGACGATATCTGCTCTTATGTCTATATTGAACTCCCATAAAATTATGGCGTTCATAAACACTGCGGTTGTCAGTAACACAAGTGCCGATTTGTTTAAGAGATTCGTGGGTTGGTCACGTGATGCACATATCCGGTGTGTGACATCACAACAGGTACAAACTGCACCATATATAAGCAGTACCGAAACTTTGAAAAGCACAGCTAAACTTAAGCAGGTGAGAAGGTTTGAATAACGCAACAAAATCTATATCAGAGACGTCGAGATTTTTTTCACAGATTTTGCAACCATTAGCAAACAATACAGCGAAGATGAACATCGCTATCGTTGCTATAGTGATAATGATTTCCGCGGTGCAGGGATTCGAACCCAGGTGCCGCAATTCTTTTGACGTCGTGATGTCTCCCGATTGCCGCACGTTGTACCGGTGTATCTGGAGCAGACCAGAAGCTATGCCATCCTGTCCGACCGGTCAGTTGTTCAGCCGGACGTACAAGGTGTGCGTACCCGAAAACAGCATATATGACGACTGTAAAGGCGTGTACACAGGTAAGACATTTAGCAGGGGAGGTAGAAAGGGCGGGACTAATTAATACACAGGTTATCTTCACGATACACATATGTAAAATTTGAAACTGCCATATTTTCATAATCATAAACACTTAAAAAAAATGAGGAGGGTGTGGGAGGGCTCGAGATGGGAGAGTATCCATGCACAAACAAATGTATGTTTGGTTGTATAGGGTTTAACGTCTTATTAACAGCTAAGGTACAATGTATTTAAAGGACGCGCTTACAAATGTAGGAATATTGTGTTGTATAGACTGGCCCCGTTTCTAGAACATTGAATTATGTTGAAAAAAAAACAAAGTCTGATAACTGATGCTAGGTTCTCAAACAAGGGAGAGATAACCTAGTAGTAAAATGCAGCATGGAAATTCTGGTTATCATAGCATATAAACCACGGATAATTATTTGTGAACCGCATTCAGACGACCTACAAACTAGATTGTGATAAAGCGGTATATCAGAACCTCGAACTATTTTTATTTTTTATTATTATTATGTCCTAATTTGTGACTTATAATTCTGTACAACCGATTGTTGTTATTTCTATCAAAATTGTATATGGTACTCTTACTTCAATTCTCTGTCAATTCTTAATTTTTATCAAAATGTTCACAACATCGCCGTATTCTCATAAAATTGTTTTCTCTTTATAGTTCATGCAGACAAGGATGAACCATGTGAAGACAAGCCATGTAAGAACGGTGCTACGTGTACGGGACTCGGGGACGACAAGGGCTACTACTGTACCTGTCCACCAACCCACACTGGGACCACGTGCGAAACAGGTGAGATTTAAACACCACACTGACTCCCGCGCGTGGTCATTTGTAGAATTTCATCCCAAATAAAGGTCCATGTGAAGATGGTAGGTAAAATATTACCCAATAACCGGGTGTAGGCCGTTATGTAAAGCTTCAGCCAACATCCGGATGTTATCTGATAAATAAAACTTCACCCCAAACCAGGGTTGGGTATAAACCAGATGTGTAAGTATGAATTTGATTCAAAATCATTCAGATTTTGGATGTTTTACATGTAATATTTGTTATATTCAAAAAGCAGATGTTACTATTAAAATATTAACAACGTTTAGTTTAAATTATCATAGTTTGAACATGCTTAGTTCCATATGTTTCCCTGAATCAACCCTCGACCAATATCTGTTAAATGAAAGCCTTGAGATGGTGTCGCGGAGGATATTGAAATGGTTACATGATAATTTATTTACTATAAGAAAATCTAGATAAATATTGATAAGCCTGTATTTCTCTACACCAGTTGTCCAAGGAGTGTCCATGTCCCTGCTGTGTGCTGCCAACCCGTCTCTGATGATACCCCATCCCACGGAGTGTCAGCTTTACTACAACTGTAGCCACACCTACAACACCGTCCCACGCTACTTTGAACAACACATGCAAGAGTGTCCCTATCCTCAGCTGTTTTCCACTCACACTCACTCGTGCCAGGCGTTTGAGAATGTCACTTGTGGAGCACGCACAGAACACAAATCCGCATGTAAGTGTTCAATTTCAATCTGGCAGCTACATTCTTTTGCAAGCTATCTTGGCATATAATATAAAAAGATCCTATAGAATTTACGAAGTTCTTCTTTATATAAAACACGCTTATATAATTAAAGACATAGTTTGTTTACAATGTCAAAATTACATTTAAAATGAAGTAAATAAAAAGGTTACTTTATATACTTCTTTTGAACTGATTAATAGTCAATTTGTTTTATAAATACATTATGTCTTAATTTTGCAGGTAAATACATTTCAAACAAATGCCCTGTTGCACATTGCTACCCGTGTGACCTTACCCTCCCGAGTTGTGAGGGTCTTGATGATGGAATTCACGCTCACGCGACCAAAGTCGGATCACCCTACTTCATGGTGTGCAAATCAGAACGTACCGTGGAAACTGGCACGTGTCCAGTAGACGAGAAAACTGGCCAACCCACATTTGTCAAGGATGGACAGTGTAAAATATAAAAGTTGCGAAATGGTGAATTACGGACGGCACATGTGTGTGACCTTAAGATGGCCGAAGATTATAAATCTGTAAATCCAAGAAAACCATGTACCAAAATGTTCTGATTCTGTTCAAATGTGATCTGTCGTTTTTGCTGATATTGGTGAATATCATTTTGATTACACTTCCATTGGTAATTTTGTACATCTCAGTCCGAATTCCAGGCACAGGAAATCCATACCGGAAGTAGAGCCGGAAGTAGAACCGAACGTTATTTGGTGGAGCGCCGTCCTGAAAAAAACACGGTGTTCGAATATTGTCGTCTATGTATTTATTTATCTTTTAAATTTTGTATGTTGTATAAGTTATATTAAGTTGTTTGTCAGTGCTTCACGAGTCGTTTGTAAAGTAATCTGGACTATTTATTAATTAATCATCCTTATGTTATAACCATTTTCCCTGTTTGTGATCTTATCCTTGTGTGTATACATAAGTTTATGTTCATCACATTGGTGTTTTTTTCAAATCGTATCTACTTACGTTTTTTTATTAATAAAATATTATTGCACAATACTTGTCGTGTTTGGCTATTCAATCTTTTGTTATTCCATTAATTAATACGAGCCTAAACCTGACAAGTTGTCATTGGGTTATTGGTCAACCACACATACGATAGGTGTCCAGCTCGTAATTTTAGTTTAAACATATTATAGTACAGACATTACCATCATTATTGATGTATCGCACACGATGTCTGCCTCCAAAACAACAGATACTGTTAAAATGCACATCGGGCCATGTGTTTGTTCTTTCTCCATGCAAACGGCACTGTTGATATTCGATTCGCTGTTCACAACTTTCTGCTGTTCAAATGTTCATAACATCCCTATAAAACCTTTCTCCTGCTCGTTCCGTGCTTTCTGGTATTTCCGTTTCTACTAGTGATCACTAGTCCGTCTGCACAGAGAAAGACCAAGCACATGGTTTATTACATTGTTACATACAATTGTACCTATTTGTTACTATTAATCATTTTCATAATTTCCGAGACAATTATACATAGTTTAGAGAGAGTGGATATTATGGTTCAATTGAGAGCGAGGGAGAGAGAGGACATTGGAGGGAGGGAGTTACTAGAATGTGTTAGAGTCACGCATGTATTGCTGAGTATGCATGGCTATCGTTATGTTTTCCTGTTCCGAAAGAGATGCTTCTCCAAATAAAAATAATACATGTCATTATATGGATACATATTTCAACATATTCCTTACAAAAATCCTGACTTTACCCACATAAAATGTAACATAATGTACTATTTGGTGGTATTAGGTTTTAAGGGTATTCAAACGATTCCTAAAACTTATTTAAATATCAAATGATATAGACGCTGTTAGTTCTGACCTATTGTACTGATTCGGCTGTGTCGGGGACAGCGGACTGTTAAGATAGGGCCTACACGCATTAAAAATACACGTATACCGTCTGTACATACACTACATAAAGTATATAAGACGTTTGCAGCAAGAAAATATCAGAATGAAGCAGTTTATCGTCCGTATAAACTTTAAAAAAAGCCAATTGTGCATGTAGCGCACAAAATACACGAGGGTTGGAGATTTCTTTGTTAAGGGCCTGTCACAAACTACCGCTGTACCTCGCAGACTAAACCGGAGCACAAAATTAACAACGGCGAGAAAATCGGCAGAGCTTCGGCGAGAAAGCACTTACAAAAATTAAAATCGACCGTAGCAATACCGATTTAATACCGGTGTAGCATGGTATTGTGAAGCATGGTGAAATGAACCGCGGTTCATATTACCGCCCCATGGTGAAATGAAGGGGTTCCAACGATTTTGTCATTTCAGATAGAAAACATCAAATTTAAGTAAACTTAAAGAAAAAGAATGGAAAAAAAAAATCAGAATAGAAAGCGCTGGAACCCTTCATTTCACCATGGGGCGGTTCATATTACCATAATGGTAATATGAACCGCGGTTCATTTCACCATGGCCTTCATATTACCATACTACACTGGCATTCCCGTTGTGATACCGTTGTTCTACCGATGTAAGAGCCGGTGTGCCACCGAATACTACTTATACTACTTTTCTGACACCTCAGTGTTACCGATGAGCCGCTGATGTTTTACCGAGGCGCCAACGTTGACCGGAGCTATAGCGGAGTGATACCGTTTTGCTGCCAATGTTACGATAGTACATCGTTAGTACATCGGCGGCGCATCAGTACTAATTCGGTGGTATTCGGTTGTACTACGGTATCACATCGGTACCAGTACGGTACACATTGAGGCAACCGGAGTGCCGCCGATCCATTACGGGACGCTATCGGTGCGCTACCGACATTAACGAAACCATACCGGAGTACTGCCGATGTACTGCCGTTGTAGTCCCGTTGCTCGCTCCGGCAGCGCAACGGCGGACATTTTTGAGCATGTTCAAAACTTCCTACCGTCGCCTGTCGTTGTTAAATTTTTCGCCGATGCTCTCACGATGTCCTGACGATGTACTACCGATCTTAGCGATGTGATACCGTTGCGCTGCCGTACTAGTACCGATCCCCGAAAATCACCAAATGTGTGCTCCGGTATAGCTCCGACGACCCAAACCGGCTAGGTGTGACAGGCCTTTTACATCCTTAACGCAGGGGATGATTATAACAATTGATCAGAATAATGTCACTTTATTCATAGGGTGTAAAATATGCTATGTCAACAACGTTTTTCACAGGAGTCGGAAATATGAAGTGGTGAACATTTACATTACATTTGACTATGCAGAACTTAATACCAAGAGCGTAACTTTTGATGGTGTATGTTTCCATTCAATTCCATACAATTTATTATTCAGATTTTGTCAATTGAGAATGAAAATTAAAAAATGCACCCGGCATTGATAATTACATGCATCAGACAATTCAGCATTGAATAATTTATATCTTTCGATACTCTACAAAAATGTTGACTTGCATGGATAACAGCTTGACAAAAAAGTCAACACTATTTTTCCTTTCCCTAGGTAAATATGACAAACAATATAAAAGGTGATTAATTGTACTTGGTTTACGAATTTTATATATATTAATAAAAGATCTTGGCAGAAATTGCATCCGCAGGCAATACCAATCAGGTTTTTCTAAAACGTTTTCCTTTTCTAAAACTGAATACGCTATACCCCAAAAATATCAGGTTTTGTTTTGTTGGGAATGATTTGAATAAAACAAACAGTTTCCCCACTCGTGTTACATAGAAACATCAATTTAGGATCGATAAGCTGTGGTGCAATAAATGTTTTATTTGTTTTAAAATGTTTTACAGCCATAAATTATACTGAAAAAACTATTCCAGTACTAGACAGGTATGACGTGGATCGTCAAGGTACCCGATACAAGATGTTACAAGAGGGACGGGTGTACACACGAGGTGTGTTCAAAACGTCCGGTGCCGGGTGTTATAAGAGAGGTCGTCAAGGTGCCTCTCACACCCGTTACCTATGGCATCTACCAAATCATCGAATCCTTTAGTTGTTTTCGATAACTAAGACATGAACAAACGTCATAAATTAATTTTATATTTTGTTTCAGTATCGTAAATCAGAAACAGTTTCCCGCTGTTACCAAATCAAGAGGATCGATTATCTTACATAAACAAATCTAAATGCCTTAACCTCGCTTAAAACATTGGTCATTTTTCATAACAAACAGAACATGATATTTAAAGGTTTGGCTTGTTTGTGTTTTACGTCCTATTTTAAAACAGCTTTGGTCATTTAAGGACGTGCCAGGTTTTGGTGGTGGAGGAAAGCCGGAGTTCCCGTACAAAAAACACCTACCTACGGACAGTACCTGGTGACTCTCAAACCCGCGACCAGTAGCCCTTCTGGTAGCAGAATGTCAGACGCCTTAACCACTTGGCCATCGCGGCCACTGTTATTCAAAGACATATCTGGTTTTCGCCGTGGTCAATATAGGTGGGTTTTTTTTAGTTTCACATCAAATCATATACACCATCACAAAATTCCATAGTTTGTTTTATTACATATGCTCCAACATCAAAGAAAGAGATTTGTCCTAACAGTGTAAGGGTGCGAGGTATTTTGCTGTTTTATCAGGTTTCAAATCGTACAACTTTGCTAAGAAAAACGACCATGCCGACCAGTGGAATCGATTATAATGTTAGAAGGTAACGAAACAAATAAAAGCCTTTCATAATACTTCTATTCAAGCAGCCGATTGTTAACGCTTAAAGTGCAAATGAGTATCTGACAAGGCTCTATTTATAAATCGATTTGCGAGCTTATCAGAACTGGTCTTGTATATGATCTGGCCAATAGGGTTTCGAAAAAAAATCTATTATAAAATAATTAATATTAAGTAATTTAAAGAAAGGTACGTTCAATTAATTACTAGTAGTGATAACTAGACCCTGACAGGCCAATGACAAGAAAATATTGGTATGCGATACCATTTATTGATATAGATGTCTTCTATAATGAAAAAATCTAAAAAGGCTTATTGATACCTTGGTTTACAAAATGTTAGTATTATTGCAGTGAGAATATAGTTTGTTTTGCCAAATTAGTAATTTCCGATACTGCACAGAAGAATATGTATGAAATAGGTATGAGGGCAATTATGTCAGTTTTATCAGTTAAAACAGTACGCACACAGTTTCAAGCCAGGAAGGACATGGCCCACGACCAAACATCGGGCAATCCCCTAACGGACATACACGTGACCAGGGTTTTGCTATGACACCCAATGGACACAGAAGTGGGCGCGGAACAAGATTCGGGGCTCAGTCAAACGGAAGTAGGCACTGCGGTCCTAGGACATCCGGCGGAAGTGTTCGTGGTAGCCAGCATGTGAGGTAGGACATTGGGAGAGTGTAACGATCTCCATAATCTCATGGAATGTGTATAGATCTCTCTCGGACAAACTTAATGATCAGGTTTTTATTGATATAATATGCGAGCATGATATCATATGTCTATATAAATGTTGGATTAAGAAAGATGAAGATATACAGCTACCTAGTTATACAAGTCATGCAGTCGATATAACTTAGGGGAAAGGTGGGGGTATTGTGATTTTTTATAAAAATGAACTGAAAAAGTATTGTGATGTTGTGAAAAATGTAAATGATAGTATCGTAGTACTCAAGATAGCACGTGAATTATCACGTGATGGTAAAGATATTTACATTTTTGTTAATTATTTTCCGCCAGTTAATAGTACTTATTATGATACGCATGATCTGGATCTTTTTGTAAAACTAGAAGAAAGCATTTCTGTATATAAGTACAAATCATCTTGTAGCATATTGGCTGTAGGTGATTTTAACAGTCGAACTGGTGCAGCTGATGATTTCATTGACGCTGACCTACTGGGCGATGCATCAAGTAATATGTTATCCAACATTGTTAACTATTTGCCAGATAATAGAATGAATAAACGTAAAAGTATGGACAAGACTTTCAACCAATTTGGCCGGCAACTTTTATCGATGTGCAAAAACACGGGTTTGAGAATTGTTAATGGAAGACATGTAGGCGATCCTTTAGGTAATACAACCTTTTATAGCGCTAGAGGATCCAGTCTGATAGACTATGCATTAGCGCCAGAATCATATTTTAAAAGCATACAATGTTTAGAAACCGGTGTTTAACGTCTAATCAGGCCACTGTCCGGTCACTTTTTCTATTGGTATCCATAAACGTAGTGTGTGTAACGCGTCAAGTACTGAGAGTACTGCTAGACAGGATGTAAGTTTTGTGAATGTGAAATGGGAGGATGAGAAGAGAAAAGAAGTTGTGAGAGTTTTAGAGAATAATATTGATGATTTGCTGGATATTTGTGATGCTGGTGAGCTCAGTCATGATAATATAAATACGAGTGTTGATAAATTTTCGTGTGAATTGAATAATTTGATTTTACCTTTCTGTACAAAGAATATTATTCATAATGGAGTGCAAAAGGTTGATACCAGGGAAGATAAACCCTGGTTTAATATCAATTGTAAACGAAGGTATAGCGAATACAAAAACGCCAATGTCGCAAATGTGGTTTTCCAAATTTCAGATCGTCATTTTTCATTTGAAAGATATTTCATCTACACTATCAATACATTTGAATCACTTGGAGACATCTCTCTATCATCAGGTTAAGGAGACTCGATTGACACTTCGTTTCCAAAATTGAGAGGAGACAACAAAATATACCTACTTCTATGACAACAAACATGAAAGTACTTACCATCAACTTTCAGAGCATACGATTCAAACGAGAGGCATTTTGTAACTTGATAAAAGACTGCAACCCAGACATCATAATAGGTTGTGAAACATGAATGAATCCATATATAGGCACTCAAGGAGCTGTACCACCGGGTTATGACACATACCGCAAAGGTCGCAGTGATGGATATGGAGAAGTGCTTGTGTCAGTGAAATCATGTTACTACAGTACCCAAATTGACACAGACCTCACGAGTGGGTCTGTGGCAGTTCAGATCAGTGGCACAAACAACATTCCATTAGTTGCTGGGTCCTTCTGCCGCCAACCAAACAGGGACCCCGACCACACTCAGCAACTCTTTGATGACATCAGAGATATCGTCAGAGGAAATTAGAAGCCCACCATCTGGATAGCGGGGGACTCGAACCTTCCTGGCATCAACTGGGATACTGACACTGTTACTGGGAACAGGTACCCAATGGTAATCAGTGAAAGCTTCATCAATATACAACATGACACTGGTATGCAACAAATCATCACATTCGCAACAAGAGATGATAACATATTGGAAACCTTTTTAACAAACAAACCCGGACTTACTAATCGATGCAATCCCAAACCCGGGATACGCGACCATGACACAATAGCCTATGTAGAAGGCAAAATATAAGAGGCCAACAAAGCGTAAAATCTACTGGAGAAAACCAAACAATGAAGGTCTACACTCTGGAATGAGAGATTTTGCCACTCATTTTACATCAACATACACCATAGACACTGATATAGACTATTTGTGGAACATATTCACGGAGGAAAGCATGATTAAGGAGAATCGTACCACAAATCCGCAGAAATTTATATCAGAGAACTCAGTATACTATATAGTCACTCTATCAGCAAAGCCAACATTCTGAATGACCAGTTCGTGTCCGTATTCACTCAGGAGAACACCCAGACTCTACAAGATAAAGATGATAGTCCATACCCTGACTTGCCAGATGTCCAGAGGGAGTGCGGACGTTACTTAAAAACAACAATTCTCGCAAAGCAACAGGGCCAGATGACATCCCAGGACGTCTACTCAAAGAGATTGCAGACGAGGTCACATCTATACTTACCCTCTTAATAAGAACATCTCTCCACCAGGGTAGAGTACCTGACCAATGGAATGAAGCCCTAGTGACCCCCCTTTTAAAAAAGGGCGATAGAGGGAAATCATCCAATTACCATCCAGTGTCGTTAACGGCCATAACGTACGATTATGGTATACATCCTGCACAGCACCATCATCATCCCCTTGAGAGCTTGAACATCCTTTCCGAGTGAGTACCAACATGGATTCCGGAAAAACAGATAATGCAGGAGCTAGCAGACAGCCTCAACACAGGAGACCAAGTCGATTGTATATGCTCGATTTCTCGAAAGCGACTTCTCCGTAAATACCATCACTATGGAATCAGGGGCAAGACTCTCAAGTGGATAACCAGCTTCCTCCAACACCGCATTCAGGAAGTCGTTTGTGAAGGAAGGAAGTCAGGAAGGTCACCAGTGACATTAGGTGTGCCCCAGGGGACGGTCCTTTGATCCCTCCTGTTCCTCGTGTACATAAACGACTTACCAGATGTAGTTTCATCAACAACACGGCTGTTTGCGGATGACTGTTTATTATGCAGGAAGTTCAAAACACCAGAGGACTCCAACAAGTACGAGATGATCCAGAGGAGAGCTGCACGTTTTGTCTATGGAGATAACAGAACAACGAGCAGCATGTTATCTATGCTAAAAAATCTCCAGTGTGAAACATTTCAACAACGTAGACAGCATTACAAGCCGGCGCGTCTAATTACCCAATACTACCCAATACCACCCAATACTACCCAATACCACCCAATACTACCCAATACTACCCCATACGATCCAATACGACCCAGTTATGAACCAAATACTTCTTTATTACTGTGAAATATCACCTTTGTAGACGTTATTCACTTCCATCTGCCATATTTTATCGGGAAATATGCGATTTGGTGCCGAAAACATCACCGAATTGCCGTGACTATGACCCAATACTACCCAATACTACCCCATACGACCCAATTATGAACCAAATACTTCTTTATGACTGTGAAATATCACCTTTGTAGACGTTATTTACTTCCATCTGTCATATTTTATCGGGAAATATGCGATTTGGTGCCGAAAACATCACCGAATTGCCGTGACTATGACCCAATACTACCCAATACTACCCCATACGACCCAATTATGAACCAAATACTTCTTTATGACTGTGAAATATCACCTTTGTAGACGTTATTTACTTCCATCTGCCATATTTTATCGGGAAATATGCGATTTGGTGCCGAAAACATCACCGAATTGCCGTGACTATGACCCAATACTACCCCATACCACGGAATTAGATTAGATCTAAGTCCGTGCCCATACCACCCAATACTACCCAATACCACCCAATACTACCCCATACGACCAAGTTATGAACCAAATACTTCTTTATTACTGTGAAATGTCACAGTTATTTACTTCTATATGTCACATTCTATCTGGAAATATGCGATTTGGTGCAGAAAACATCACCGAAATGCCGTGACTAGGGGTTCGACGATTTACAGGAACGGGCAGAAATCTATTAATTTTTATATAGGCCTATACATTAATGAATATATATATTAGATCAGAGACGTATATAACACAGTTATGGCTTTATACGTCTCTGATTAGATACATTAAAGTATCATTATCGGGTATAAGATATATTTGATAAAATGATTGCAATTACATGATCGCCATTCGGGGCAGAATCGGACTAAATTATATTTATATTTATATTATTATATCTTTTTTATCGGGTACAAGATACGTCATTTGATAAAAGGATTGCAAAGAATTTAAAAAAAAGTATTGTATTGATATGGATCGGGCAAGAACGGTCGACGATTTACAGGAACGGACAGAAACGGGGCAGGATCGGACTTATTTATATATATTTATTGTATATATTTAATTATCCTTATCTGGTATAAGGTATATTTGATAAAAGAATTGCAATTACAGGAACGGGGCAGGATCGGAATATATATATATATATATATATATAAATTGCCAGGCCGAGGTTCCAATTTATGTCTCTGTTTTATTCTATAAAAAAGGGTTGTTCAGAGAATTATATATTACATATATAATAAATATGTATCTGAGTTATTTTCTCATTTATATATATGACATTGTTATTGCGATGTCATAACACCTGAAACATTGGAAATGACATTATGATAACTAAATTTTAATAACTTCATAACTTATACTCAACTCTTAATAAATAGCATGAATATATTTTGAGTGAATTAATTGGTGTTAATGTGTAGATTACAATCCCATCACGTCTACGATCTTAAAAAAAAGAAAATACGCAATTTTCCAACTCAAAAAAGGGACATCAATCTGAAAATTAAATATTATTCTATATGTAAATATAAGTTAATTGAAATACGTGTTTTACGTAAATAAATATTGAAGTCCATATGTTGGATTGTTAGGCCTTATCTGTTATAGAAAAACGATACTGTATATTAATTGTATATGTAAAGAAGAAAGAAACACGGTGAAACGCTTTAAGTTTCATTTTTTTTCAAAGGCCGATGTGGTCAAAACTGATTATCTAATTCCGTAATAGTAGACAATAGACTTCTTGTTCCAATGTTCAAGCTGGTTTAAGGAAAGGCTACTCTACAACTGAAAATATATTTATCCTTCATGCTTTAATATCTATATACGTTTCAAAAAGTAATTTTGGGGTTTGAAAATACCAATATGATTGAGAAATTACGTGTACAGTTTTGTTAAAGAATTTTAAACATACGTAGCTCCACAGCAAATATAATGGTATATGGTGAAACGGGTAGGTACTCGCTGGATATTGAAATTAAATCTAGAATGATAATGTTTTGGTATAAACTAATTACAGGTGAAAATAAATTGTCTAGTATAATGTACAAGCTTATGCTGAATTTACATAAAAATGATTTCGCTGATTTTAAATGGATTTCATATATCAAGAATCTATTCAATTGCACGGGACTAAGTTTATGTTTAAAATTAGATATTGTACACGGAATTAGATAAAGTCCGTGGTTATGCATTCATATAACTTGATGTTTTTAAAGACTTAAATTTGTTTAAATAAATTTGACGAGTATTTAGTAAGAGTAGATTTACTTTTCACGACCATGTATCTTTAGTATATATTGGAACAAATCTATATTTATACATATTATATCGATAGTTGTTATAAATAAAAAAAAATCCGTAGAATGTTCATGTACGTCAATACGTTTATAACGTTCATTGCATAATAAAATTATTTAAACATTTGTTCTAATTTAGTTGACTACAAGTAATTTTGGGGGAAATCCTCTATTTGCCAATTCTATTCAAAATTTATCTCCGTTTTCGTCTTCATTGCATATTCTATATATATATATATATATATAGTTAAGTCAAGTCAAGTCAATTTTGTTTATTATAGTGTCATATATCACAATTACATCGTACAAGTATATAGTTACACAGTATAAACACATATAGTTACATAATTTATAATATCATAATTTTGTTAAGAACAGCTATTATACATAATACATTAATAAATTAAAACAAACTATCACATGTGCCAATCCAGAGAGCAGGTGATTGGGACAGCCCCTACCTAACAAACTCCTGGATTTTGTCCTTACATATTACATACTATAATAGTTAAAAGGTTTCTTTTATATTTACTGCCTTAAAACATGATGTCTTTAAAAAAACAATAACAATGGTGATAAATAAAATGAATAATTTCCTAGTTCTACATTGTAGTGAAATTTAGATTTCCAAGGGTTGGGGAGCCCCCTTCCAGCGAGGTCTGCTAAATTCACACTAACTAGTAGCTAATTATATTTAAACGGAAGATTATTTTCATAAAAAAATGTTTCTGATTGACACCTGGTATCATATTTAACAAATGCATTAAATAGAAAATGTAATTGTATATGATGTTCAGCCTAAAATGGCTTACAAGACACTGTTTAAAATTATAACTAATCACATAGACTGCTACGTCTTCTGTACATATTATATAAGTGGTTTGCAAGTGGAATTTGTAATTCCTCGGAAGACATTATAAAATTAAATTATAATATATATATTTACCTGTAACTGTGATTTAGATCACGGACTTAGATGTTAAATAAAATTGCAACATCACGGTATCTACCATGTATCTATAGAGATCACATTTACTTGAGATGGCCAACGAGTTGAATAAAGTATATGTGTATACAGTATCTCTGGGAGTCGAATCAAGTTTTCATGTCATTTAGTATTTTGCTTTCGGATGATCAAAGACGTATATATTACGTAATGTAATATATACGTCTCTGGATTGATGTATAAGAAGCGTAACGTAATTCCTTTTATTAATCTATTTAATTTTTACATTACTTAATGACAACCTACTCGTCTACCCTTCATAAGATTGGTCAGGGAACTATATATGGAAAAAATATCTAGCTTGTCCAAAACAGACTATCTGTGAGTTAATCAAGTAATTGAAAGGACTTCGAATCATATACAATCCATATACTTTTTGAATTTCGTAGTATTTGAGTATCTAATTTAACTGAAGGTTCTTCTCCAGCATTGTTATATAATTGATACTGTTATGTTTAACAAAATTGAATAACTAACATTTATGAAAAGTAATTTAAAATTTTCTAAATATTTCCTGCTAAATTTATATATATGATCTTAATAACACCATTTTATGACATGAATAGAATTAATATAGTATCATGTAATTGCAATTCTTTTATCAAATATATCTTATACCCGATAATGATACTTAAATGTATCTAATTAAATATATATATTCATCAATGTATATATAATAATTAATAGTTTTCTGCCCGATCCTGCCCGTTCCTGTAAATCGTCGAACCCCTAGTCACGGCATTTCGGTGATGTTTTCTGCACCAAATCGCATATGTCCAGATAGGATGTGACATATAGAAGTAAATAACTTCAAGAAATGCGATATTTCACAGTAATAAAGAAGTATTGGGTTCATAACTGGATCGTATGGGGTAGTATTGGGTGGTATGGGGTAGTATTGGGTCATAGTCACGGCAATTCGGTGATGTTTTCGGCACCAAATCGCATATTTCCCGATAAAATATGGCAGATGGAAGTAAATAACGTCTACAAAGGTGGTATTTCACAGTAATAAAGAAGTATTTGGTTCATAACTGGATCGTATGGGGTAGTATTGGGTAGTATTGGGTGGTATTGGGTAGTATTGGGTGGTATTGGGTAGTATTGGGTAATTAGACGCGCCCTTACAAGCTACCACTGTTGTTCAGAATCATCAACGGACTAGTGACTATACCACCACAGCCACACTTGATACCTAGGTGCGCCTCAGCCTACGCTTCCAAGTCCCATACTCTCGTGAGCAGAACCATTAGCAGTCCTTTTTCCCTTCTACCATAACCTCCCAGACAGTATTGCCACAGCCAACACTCTAGCGGGGTTCAAGAGACACAAGCAACAGTATCAGACCACCTACTAGTTGCTCGGATGTTTTTAATTGTATATACGGTTTCTTTTAACGACACAATTTCCCACTGGGCATGTGCAACGAGCAATCTGAGAATATACTCCAGAGGAGGGATTGCAGAGTATTGGAAGAGTATTGGAAGACGAAGAAGAAGAAGAAGAAAAAGAAGAAGAAGCAGAAGAAGTTCTTCAATATCAACCAACAATGAATGAATCCGGCGAAGTGTGGCGCGAAGCGTAACCGTTTGTGGTGTGGCGCGAAGCGTAACCGTATCACATAACAGGCTTGATTGAAATATTTGTAATCCTTTCGCGAAATATAGTCCGTTTAAAAGAACGCATTTTAAGGAAAGTCTTGATAGAACATGTAAATTTTCCCCTAGTTTTCCATAACAGTTACATGTAAACTGTATATTATGCAAATCATATAAAAATATGAGAAAGATTGAGATTTGTTTTCATTTTTTCGTGAAATTTTCAAGTGGAAAAACACGACACAGGTAATATTGAAGAAATATACTATAAATACAAAGATAAAATTTCTATTTAGTTTAGGTTATCGGGTGATTACTACAATGGAACTCGGGTAAATTGAATAATCGGCCCGATTACCTACACTTAATAGAAAGTTAATCCTTAAATATACCGCTGATTTGGTGTTGTGAAAATGTCGATATCGACTTCATACCTGCATGTACAATGTAAATGTTGATCACTACAGAAAACGAAAATCATAAGATGTAGTAACACAGCATTGTGTAACTAAAATGTATGTGTGATGTTGAGTTTGTCCAGCTAGAGGGGCAACAGCATTTGTCAATCCCACAAACACAGCATCGTCCGAAACTTCAAAGCGCTGCTGTAACATAAAACGTTAGCACATTCTCTATGGTCAATACAGAATTCCTGTACCTGAGGTAATAAGGTACGCAGAAAATGCGTCTAGGGAGTATCCTTGACATACTAGGGTAGTCATCGAATTCCTTACAAACGATAAGTCATACTTTTACTCACATCAAGTTATAATTTAACTTAAAGTTAACATTTTTACTTTATAAGTGTCCAAACTTTCACACCTATTGTACAAAATGATGTTAACAATGGAATCAATTAAATAAAGACATTTGTGTTTCAAAGTTGAAGAAATGTTTTCGACACATTTTCATAATGGCAAAAAGCAATATTTCCCTGGCTTGATTGTCATTTCCGGTTAGTTTACCATTGTATTTAAACGCAACACCGAGATAATTGAATTCAACACTTTTTACTGTACAAATATTATTTGTTAAAAAAAGTTCATGTTCCTCACTGTGCTATTTTTAAGAAAAAGAAGTAAAACACGTGTGTTTTTAAACCTTCTGGTATTTCTGATATTGCCGCCCTGTTATCTGCGACATAAGTAATACCATGTTTAATTCATGTATTACGTTCAAAAGCCTTACCAACCACAACCTGAATATCACGGTAATTTATATAGGATTAACACTATTATTTCAATAATCTATTCACCTTAAAAAATTCCAATCTGGCATTAGATTGCATCTGTGAATTTTACCGCCATATATAACAAAATACTTAAAGTTTGATCATTCTTATGTTATTAAGTGTTGAATGTCAACATGTACTCATCAATACCTTCTCTAAATCAATTTCTGCCACAGTTGTGTTTATTTACAAAATCAAAAGATTTTGTTTTGTATTAAATAAAACAGCAATATATATATAGATATTTTCTTATTAAAAATCCTATTTGTCAATGCCAATGAAACATAAATAATCTACGAAGGAAGTAAATTTAGGAAATATCTTTGCGTTCCTAACTCGATTAGCTGGTTCCGGAAACTGGAAGTGCGTGACAAAACATAGAAAAAACATACCGACACTGAATAATTTTTTTGTTAAAACACAATATGGTCAATTCCGGATATTCTAGTAGTATGTACGTAAGAATGATACATTTTGTATATCAGAAGTAGTTTTAGGCCTGTAAATTCCTAAGAAAAGTGAATATGATTAATGTTAAAAGGTTCTCGGTGGGCTTGATATGTTCCCTGAATCAATTACACTGTTTGTTGTCTTTTAACAGTGTTTATACGTGTAGCGAATAAGAATATAAATTACCAGTGCGTAAGTTGTAATTTAAGAGGGTACTTGATAAGACCTTTGTAGAGTCGTGTTGGATTCATGCTTTTGTTTTACTGTGAAAATCGTGAGAATGAAACTGCCCAGCGATAAACCCTTCTATATATATTATAATGCATTTGTTGATTCTGTTACCATGTAAACAGATCACAGAAGCCACGTGAAGCTTGCTAATTTTATAGGTATCATTCTGTGCATAATATACATTGCTTTCAAACAAGGCAGTCAGTTCGTATAAAAAAACATTCAAGTTGTTTTACACTGTCACTCTGTCAACGGGGAAGGACAGTAAAACATATTGTAGAATCCGGAGATGTGAATTGCTCAACTTGTTTTGCTTCCTCACTTCCCTTTACCTGTGTTGACGTTACCTTCCAAAGTCCGCGGAACTTTCTGTCATGTCGTATGATAACACTGAGCAAACACTGGACCGTCACAGGGTGCTTGGTCGATAAGCGCCATCATCATTGCCGTCCGTCCGCACCCCTTCCGTAACTTTTGGTGGCAACGGAGATTCCTTGCGTTCACGTGACGGTGTGATGTCCGATGACGTCAGATAAAATATCAAAGTTTTGGGCGTATATTTAACAAGTTACCAAACAGATTGTCCAGACGCTATAAACACCTCGGATCAGGCTGTGTCGTAGCGTGAAATTTACTTACAATTCGGTCCAGAATTCAAACTATCACCATCTTCTCTTCAAACATGTACTCTTACGCTTTTTGTGGCCTGGTACTGCTGCTGGCTGGTCATGTTCGGTCAAAGGATGATCGATGTCTGAGTGATTTCGACTCCTTCGTTGACAAAGAGTGTCGGACCATGTGGCAATGCGTTTGGGGAAAAGCAATCAAAATGCCCGGGTGTTCCTCGGGGCTCATCTACAGCAAACAGCACAAAGTGTGCGTGTATAAAGACAGCGTGTATGATGACTGCGAAACCGACATCAACACATGTAAGTAATAATACATAAAGTAAAACTGTAGCAATTCAATTTCTAAGTAATATTTCAATAAAGCCCTTTTAAAGAAAATGTTTAACTACACTTAAAATCAACAACTACTCCAGTTGAACTCAGTGAAATTAACAAGCATTGTCTGTTTCAGTTTTCCATCACATTGATGAGATTAACATGATTTTCGTCTATTTTCACACTAGCAATTATTCATCCGCCGCAACAGTTAAACGCTTTGGGGTGTACTTATTGAAATAAACAATATTGGCAAAATTTTAAAAGTCATAAGTATATTACGTTTTCTTGTTGTATTCCGCATAATTCATTCCTGGCAATCTTTTTAACAAAGAAATATATTAACATGTAGTATTGCACAGGTTCAAGCGTATCGAATGTGCAATAGTAGATTTTAATTCAAATATAAAGATTGAATTTTTCATCAGACTTTATCATGAAGTGATGAATTGAGTTGGTCTAGAGAAAAATTCAACATCAACAGCTTCGCAGTTTATTGAATTTATCTCAAGACCCACTTTACTCTTCATTCCTTGCGATTGACTAAGACTAAATATTTGCATGTATGACAGGCAAATTACTTTAACTCTGATATCAACAACTGTATAAACCTAATAAATCAAAGTATTACCATCGTAAAATAATACCTAGAATACACTGTTAGGGGATCAATCAAGTAATGACGACAATTCATTTATATGTGAATTAACTGACTTGTTTCCTATTGACATTTTTTCCCTAGCGAAATCGCAACCATTTAAAATCACGACCTTGTCCAGGTCAATAATTGATCAAATTTCACCAATTCGGCAAAAAGGTTTGTTTTTAACGTATCACGAACACAAAAGATACAATCCAGAAAGGTGTATTATCAACAGATTCGTTTGTTGTTTCAAATGTTCATATATGTATTAAAATATCGTCCACATTATATAATGGTATACTTTATTTAAAACCCAGTTTTTCGCACCCATTACGAAGACACGCTACCAAACACCATAGAACATCGGTTTGTATCTGTATCTGTAGTTCAATGATAAAAAGATGTCTAACAATTTCAATTTTTAAATGAACAACAGTTACTACAGTCTTTATTGTATCAGCCAGTAAACTGAAATGTATCTCACTTTATGCAATATATCTAGAAAGCCGTAAGGACCAATGGCTTTCGATAGAGAATGACGTCCATTTATTGTCCATAATAAATACAAAATACGGAATGTCTGATTATCTTTTTGATTGGTTATCCTTTTACATAAGCAATCGTCATCAATAAACCATAATACTACTCCTATGTACTCCTCCTGGAATACCACAAGGTTCTGATTTTGGCCTTTACTTATATATATATATATATATGATAAAAAACAACAAACCTGTGATTTCCTCTGGTTTATTTGCTCATAGCATTTCGTTTTCCGTCTCTGTAACCAAAATTGATACTTATACCAATCATGCTGAAAATCATTTATGTAGGCAGATACATCCGCCGCAATCTTCAATTCATGTTTTTTAATCTATAATTTAAAAAAAACAAATCTAACCTTAAAGACATTCTGCTGTCATGCTTTCTTCTTAACTTTGTTTTATAATCGTATAACAGTGCTATTCTAATTAATCTGTAATTAGGTACAGTGTTCTTAAAGAAAATATCTTAAACACCTGATTGTTTATGCTAATATTCAATGAAATCCACATCATTTTTTCATTATATGGTAAACAATGATCACGAATGTCCAGAATCTTTTTTTGAAAAATACTCCATACAGAAAAGTGAACAAATATATATATGATATACACAGCAGTTTCTATCGAGCACCCGTAGGTTTCGAAAATATGCCACACTTTTCAATCATGCCCGACAATCTAATGCTCTAATGTCCCAACCCGTTCTCTACAATCTTTTCATTCCTGTCTTTCTCGTTACCTATACTCTTCCGTTTAGGCGGTGTCTCACTCGTCACCAGTCTTCATTGGATGTTTGCTGTTGGGGGGACGGTAAAACCTGAACAAAACATAAATACGCTCATACGCTTGCTCCGTATAACGTAAATAAAACATGTTAAAAATTAAGGAATGTGTTTATATGTTATGTAATATAGAAGGTGATTGTATGTCTTTGTAATAATTTTTAAAACAAATACAAAATGAATACAAACGTTGAGTATGCCAATTTCTCTAAATATCCATTGCGTAGCATATAGGTCCGAAATAAAAGGTAAAACAGTGAGATGGGTTGCGTCACGTATACTCAATTCCTCTTGTTTCTGTATGATCCCAGGTTTCAGACAGTATAGATTATGTAATAAAATGCGTGACCTAGTATTCCGTCTTTGCGTATTGCAGAGTTATCTTCTCTTGGGAGCAGGTATTGATTGTTACGCCACTTGTTTGTGAGAGAAACGTCATCAATTTTTGAGAAAACAGCGTAATTTTCTCACACAGACCAATGACGTAACAATCAATACCTGCTCCCAAGAGAAGATAACTCTGCAATACGCAAAGACGGAATAGAGATTACATTCGATCATAAGATGACAGTTTGTATATTTGCATCAAGAAGAAGCGTTGTTCCAGGTAACCGAGGCGAAGACAGGATCAGCAAAACTTTCAGAAGGATAAACATATGCAATATTGCTCTCTCAGCAATCTGACTATCCGATTCAATGAAAGGGTGTCATGTTGATGTATTTTGCTTCTTCATTATCTAAAATGTATGACTGGCCCCTGTCATCACGCTGTATAGCGGTGTATAGCAATCAGGGGTTTTGGTGAAATTGCAAACACTCAAGGTTAGTGTCGGTATTTTCGTTGATTTAACTCTATATATCCGATCGTTTTTCTCACAAGTTACACTATTGCATTGTTTAAAATATTTTCTTCTTTTCAATTGTAGCTTCAGGAGATTGTAATAAATACATTATATAATACAAAAGTTGTTTTACATAAAAAGGGCACTTAAGCAGTAAAACATCATTATTATCCTGAACATTCTCTGTGGGTATTGGGGTTTGGGTTTAGGAGGACAATCAGTTTTGGTTAAATTGTACTTTTGCCTATGATTCTAGATGTCTATGCCTAAATGGCAAAGACAATGTCACGATCGTGACTTTCCTAGCCAAAAAGAATAAGGAAGGGTAATGGAAGTGTTGTCATCTGTTTCTTTACATATACTTATCTACAGACACGATCAATAGCAATTAAGTCATGGCTCTCACTTGTTATCGGGAAATATGTAAACAGCGCTATATCATCATCATACATCAGACTTGCTATATATTTTCCTGTATAACATCAATAAGTTCGTCAAAACCTAATAATTGATGCATTCATGACATTTCCAAAACGTCATTGTCCTCTTAAACAGAAACACCGAGACCCACACATAATTTGTCAGGATTAAATAGACATTTTTCTTCTTAAAACACTCGTTACATAAAAGCAACACTTGCAATTAGTAATCTCTTTCTGAGCTGTAAAAATCCTATTCTACATAATGCAATAGAGGAAAATATTCGTGAGAGTGGCGAAGTCAACATATTAAGCGAAGTATCCATGAGTATTTGCAACTTCGGTAGAAATTGCACTGAGCAAATTATATTTTTATATCACTTAAACCTCCCCCAGCCCATGTGCAAAATGTTGGGTAGCAAGGATAGGTCTGGAAGAAAAAAAATAACTGACTGGCTTCAGTGATCATCTCCGTCTCGCTTCGGTGGCATTTCTTTATCTCTGAAACCGACACCTCACTTTTGAAGCTATACAGGCGCTTCTTATCCACTTCTTGTTGCTGGGTTTTTTTCAAGTTAAAACACAAAAATAAAGACATTTCACTACGGGTGATCGGGTAGCGCAGCGTAAAATCATCCGGAGCAAAAAGAGTGATTGTTATAAGTTGACAGAACTTTTTTTCATAATTGCTGTAAAATTAAGTTTGTGTTTAAACAAATAATATCAATAGACGCTTTAACGCTTCCAATAGAGAGAGTGTATTTGCCGATAGTCAATAAACGGTTTTTTCTGACCAGAAAATGTATCATCAAGAAAAACATTATTTTTATGCGTTTGATATGTTTTGAAATTTTGCTATGACAAGAAAAATCCTTCTGTATTCTATTATAACGAAAGGGTAACATTGAACATTTTCACATTTTCAGATTACGAGATTTCCAATAAGTATAAAATAATGACAATTGGCAACCATTTTCTAGCATTCGCGAGTAATCTGCAGTCTGCTGTCATCATATTTTACATGGACATAAAACGTGACACGTGTAGCTTCAACTTACGATTACAGCGTTAGAACTGTCTTCAGTAAACTACAAACAATGTTGTTTCAAAACCCAACTCATTTAGAATACTAATCTCCGATTAACATGACACTAATTCATTTTGAATACTTATATAATACACTCGCTATAATTTCAGTTAAACCTGACAAGGTGTGTGAAGACAAGCCATGTAAGAACGGTGCTACGTGTACGGGACTCGGGGACGGCAAGGGCTACTACTGTACCTGTCCACCAACCCACACTGGGACCACGTGCGAAACAGGTGAGTGACGAAACCGAAGTCCATGTTATGGTCACGTTTTATTTCATCTGCGCCACCCATATACCGAAACCATGTTAAACATGAAAGTGTTACATAAGCTCGAGTTTCTTCTGGCCCTAACACCAGACTTAAACATTTTGACAGATATTTATCTGTCAAAATATCTAAGTCTGGTGTTAGGGTCAGAGGACACTCGGGCTAGTGTTACATCTGCTCCTTCCATACAATGTGACGAAGCCACGTGTAAAGCAGACTTATATTTCAACCTGTTTTCAGAACCCTATCTGTACTGTAACCACGTGTAAAACAGGTTAATACTACATCCGTCCAACCCTTACCGGAGCCATGTGTAAAAAAAAGGTTAATACTACATTCGACCCACCCTTACCGGTGTCAGGTGTAAAACAGGTTAATACTACATTCGGCCTTACCCTTACCGGTGTCTGGTGTAAAACAGGTTTATACTACCTACATTCGGCCTACATTCGGCCCACCCTTACCGGTGTCAGGTGTAAAATAGGTTAATACTACATTTATTAAAACAAAGACATTGTTTGTATACAAACATTACTTTTTTATTAGAATACAAAACAACTTTTATATGTATATATGTTTACCAACATCGTATGCTTTTGATTTATAATTACAGTTGTGACAAACTTGGACATTGCCAACCTGTGTGCTCGCAACCCAGACCTGACGATCCCCCACCCTACGGAGTGTCAGCTTTTCTACAACTGTAGCCACGCCTACAACACCGTCCCCCGTTTCTTTGAACAACACATGCAAGAATGTCCCTATCCTAAGCTCTTCTCAGTCGAAACGAAGACATGTGAAGCTTTTGATGACGTGCAGTGTACATACCGGAAGGAACAGAAATCTGGATGTGAGTTATTAAAAGATATATAGCCTAATGAAATGTACATGTCCATCTTTGAAAGTGTATTTTCAATTGTGTATAGAAACTTAACTTTTACAAAAATATAGTACCACTCAAATATGCTACTTAATTTCCGTTTAAAACGGATATTACAGTAATTAACATTTCGTACATAATATTTCAGAGTAACTAAATACTTTTAGCCAAACATTTAATAGTTTTTATTAAATCAAATGCAATTTAGTAAAGTCCACTGATTTGACGTGTTTCCGGTTCCGGTTACACAGGTGATTACCGCCAGAACAAGTGTCCCGTGGCCCACTGCATACCGTGTTACATCATGTTCCCGAGCTGTGAGTCGTTGGAGGACGGAATGTATCCCCATTCGACCCGTGCTGGCACCCCCTGGTACATGGTATGTAAAAAAGGACGCACAATCAAAACAGGGCTATGTCCCATCGATCAAACGAACCGGAAGCAACTGTTCGTTACCAACGGAAGTTGTAGTGCATACAGCTTATAAGTTGCGGAAGTGATGTACAATGTTTTTTGTGCAGGTAGGAAGGACTCGAAACGCAACCCATACAACAAAGCAACATCGACAATTAGTTGCTGTAATGAAGAGACTATTTTGTGATGCACGTTTTTTCTCCGTTCATTATTTATTATTTCACACTGTTTTTAAAATAAAGGAGAATTTTCTAACATCTGAAGTTCATTGTTTATGTCTTTGACAAGAAGTAAGAGACACACCGGATGCATGTCTGACTAGTTTTACTTAAGATTTTAAACCAGACATTAGCAGAGAAACAAATACCGGACGCTTCCTGAGGAAACATGCTTATCAGTCTGATCTACACGACAGAGGTTCCGTCAACACGTTTAATCAAAGAGCTGTGTATCACTGTGCCTAGATCACAAAATGATATCAAGGTTTAAACAAGTGTAAACAACTTTAACCAAACATGTGTATATCTTAAGATCGGGTTTTATCAGGGTTCTAGAAAAGTCATCACAGGAAATAAAAAAATACTGCAAAAAAAGCATTATTTCACACCTATAAAACCCCTAATCCTTACATGGGGGTTATAGAAATCACTGGGATACCTGTATCGCTGTATACCTTGGGTTATCTGTATACGAGAGATAGTGTCGACAAACACAGGAGGAGCCGGATTAATGGAAATAGACATACCATTATACCATCATTACCGGGGACGTAACCCGGTCTAATCTATCTCCTACGTCACAGCGCCCATACAGGTGAAAATTAACTACCTCTCAATGCCTAACCTGTCTATACCTTGTCAATACATTATATAGATAAGTCATAAATACCATGTTAATACACTATACAGGTAAACCATTAATACCTTGTCAATACATTACAGGTAAACCATTAATATCGTGTCAATACATTATACACGTAAACCATTAATACCTTGTCAATACATTATACAGGTAAACCCTTAATACCTTGTCAATACATTACATTTACACTTGCGCTCCAACCCACCATATGGACATTACCAGCAGAAATGAATTTCATTTGGGTTTATTTACATTTGCACTGCAACCAACTCTGTGAACATTACCAGCACATGACGTCCGTCTTGGAACAGGCCTCGATGTAGTTTTGTTATGCTAATATAAATTAATATTAAACATGATTGACTTGAGTATCAAGCTTAAATAAGGTAATAATATACGCCTTGAATAAATTCTACAAATTAAATCTGAAAATGGAACTTTATATTATGTTTGTTTTGTTTCATGCTGTTGCTAGGACCACAAACAGAAGTTTTACATTTTCCCACGAAAACAAGCTGTTCTCTCCACTGCATTTTCACTATGTAAAAATAGAAAACAATACCTGTATTTGTTTTATTTATGCTTGCATGGATATTTAAAACTATTAAAAATGTAAATATAAAGAATGAAATAAAAAAAAATCAACATCCATGAGGTCATAACAACAATGGCGTTCTGGACATATTTGCCATAAATATGTCCAGAAAGCAATGTTGTTATGACCTCATGAATGTTGAAAAAATAAATGTCATTCCTTAAATGAAAGCAATTATTGTAGAAAAAAATAACATACACCAAATTTAGATTTCCTTAATATTTTAATATTGGTTCTGGCATATTTGTGGCCTCGGCTGTAGTTGAAATACTTATTTTAATCTATATATGTAATTGTGAGTCGCCACGGGCAGACCCATCAATCTTATATTATTCTATACACACAAGTAAAACACCAATTTTTGAGCTAGTACACCACTAGTCTCAACACAACACAAGTATGGAGGCACATCACTCCATAAACACCAATTGTTCAAAGTCACATGACACGTTCACCGAGTCATTGTTTTGAATTCACCAATTACGTATATGAATTAATATTGCATTAAACCCTGGTATCACAACGGTAAAACGCATATTAACTATTAAGGTAAACTGAACGGTTATGCCGCGCGACGCC